CCCATCTCTTGAGGTCCACCAGCTTTGTCAGGACAACTCCTCCAGGATGTCCCCACTCTGCAGTGCCCCAGCCCGAGCAGCCGCGCTGTCCCCTGCATGTCCCCAGCGCCAGCCCAGGGTGGCCCACAGTCACCCTCCTGGCTCTGCGCCCCCCCTGGCCCCCGCCCCCGCTCCGTTTTCAGAGGCCCCTTGACCCGCGGGTCCTTCAGCCACAACCGAGGTGGCGCCGGCTGGAACCCAGGCGTGAAATTATGAAAGAATGAGGCTGCAGCGGCCTCCAGTCGCTCGGGCCTCAGATGTGAAATTGCCATTTGTCCCCTCCCCCACTCGCACCGGCCTGTCGCACGCGGGGCGGAAAAGATTGTATTTATCACCTGTCAGAATCTGCCAGAACTGAGTTACGTGAGGCAGGACAGCATAAAATTATCATACACAAGCATGAAATTACAAAATCGCTCGGAACTGAACAACAAAATTATTTCATTTCGGAGGGAGGCCATTCCATTTTTTAGCCCTGACACCTTGACTGCCAAACTTTGAATTGAAATTGAGTGTGCGGACCATGGAATAGAGACGGCAATAACAAGAAGTAGCATGTCAGCTAGCCATGCAGACACACGACATTAATGGCCCCCGAAACCTCCCACCGAAGATATGTAACTAAATAAATGTCACATGTCCCAGTGACTCCACTCGCCTTCCCCACATGCAAACAACTGAAGTCCATGTTCACCCTGGGGTCCACTCTCCGGAGGTTCCTGGGAGGAACTGGGTCCAGGTTGGTTCTTCGCATCTGCAGAGCTGTGTCTTCCCAAAACATCGAGGATTTGGAGTAACGTGGGTGTGATATTGGTGAGCTGTGTGACTGCGAGTGAGTGTCTTAACCTCTCTGAGCCTCCCTTTCATTATCTGTGAACACGAAAAAAATGACTGTTTATTTTTTAGTTATGAGGACAGAGTTTGACACATAGTAGGTCTACAGAACAGGCATCAGGGGATTGGGTTGAGTCCATCATCCACCTGGCTCTGGTCCCTTTACAGTTTTTGTGCAGTTTACACTGTGTAGTGAAAACAATTATTTAACAAACTTGACTAAGCACGGGACAGAAAATTGTGACGTAATAGATATAAAATGTGACGTTTATTTATAAAATGGAGTTAGGTTGCATTCTCGGTTCTTATTTTATTTTTGGCACCAGGGATTGAACCCAGGGGCACTTAACCACTGAGCCAACTCCTTGGCCCTTTTCCGATAATTTATTTAGACACAGGGTCCCCCTGAGTTGTTTAGGGCCTCACTGAGTTACTGAGGCTGGCCTTCAGCCTGCAATCCTCCTGCCTCAGCCTCCATAGTCTCTAGGACTGTAGGTGTGCACCACTGGCCAGCTTGGATAATTGGCTCTTATTCCCAGTTTTTTCATACTTTCCTGTGCCCACTGAAGCCCCTCCCACTGGAGGCGGGGCTTGTTTGCTCATCTGATGGTAACTGGGCATGGACAGGTGGCTTAACTGGACTGTGCGCAGACATGAGGTAACAGACGTTTTCCATACGTGAGCAGCTGGCCTTGGCCTCTGGCCCCGCTACGAGCTTGAGAATGGTAGTCCCAGGGAGATGCTGGCTGACGGGGACAGAGAGACAACGCAGCCTGAAGCCAAGTCTCACCAACCCATAGGGCCTGGGAAAGGGGAAATAAATGCTTGTCGGCCTCTGACAGTTGCGAGTGTATTTGTTACGCAGCAAATACTGACTAATGAAACAGAGTTGGATGATTATGAACAGAATCTCCTCAGAGCCCACGTTGAACTTGGAATTCTTCATCACGTGCCACTGATCTGGGAATGGCAGGATACCTG